AGGGAGACGAGCAGAGTCCACGTCAGATTTGTCCTAGAAAGCTGACTCTGAGTCAACGTGGAGAATGGACTGGGGGGGTCAAGACCAAAGACTTAGGGACCAGTTAAGAGGCTAACGAGCCAGGGGGTTAGCTCCTTTCACTCCCAGTCTTTATGCCTGAGAATAGCTGGTTCTCTATGGACCACGTGCAATGGAGTCCCATAGAAAGCAAGCCATGTCCCCTGCTCAGGGCTGTGTCTGTTCCAAACAATATGAAGCCTTTTGAAACCCTCAACTGAGAGGATGTGAAAGCAAGGCACAAGGGGAGAAGTGAAGGCTTCTGATGGTCTCAGCTTATGCAGAAAGTGTCCTTCCTGAGAAATCCATCTAACTCCCTCTTCTATGGCACAGAGACAGGAACTGAGGGGAACTGTTAGGAGCAGCTTTGGATACGAGGCCTGCTATCTCCTACTTCAATCTGCGTACATATCACCTGGGCATCTTGCTAGGATGCAGATTTTGAGGCACTAGATCTGGGCTGTGGCCTGAGAGTCCGCTTCCGGGACAGTTCTATACTTTGAGTACCAAGGGTTTAGGCTGCATAGCATATACATGGCAGTGCTGGGACTTGAACCCAGGTCTGTCAGGCCTTTCATTCTTTCATTTACTCATTCATTTGTTCATTCAACAAATTCTTGTTTGCTTTTTTTGTTGTTTGTTTAACAAACCAAATGAAGTGCTTACAATGTGCCAGGCATGGTTCTAAATGCTTTACAAATACCAACACATTCAATCCTCATTACAACTCCATATAGTAAGTATATAGTAAGTACTATAGTTATCCCCATTTTACAGATAAGGAATCTATACACAGAGACTTGTAACTTGCCCAAAGTCACACAGCTGGTAGGCAGCTTAATAAACACCACCATTGTCAGGAGAGCTGCAGTGCCTGAGCCTTTTCTACAGCACCACATGGAATGTGGGGTGTTGGGTCCCCAAGCATGGGTACACTTGAATTTCCAAAATCCAGACATTGTTCTGTAGCTTGGCTTTATCAAAGTAAATGTAAGCTACCTGCATCCCTGTCCCTTCACATCTTTACCCCTTTCCAATAAGATTTACTCAGTAGCTCTGCCATCCAGCAAGTTCCTGGCAGTCCTTTGTTTAAATAAGAGCTCAGACTCTGTCTGCCTTTTCTCCTACATTTCTGAGAGGCCCAGTGGCCTTGGGAGCAAAGGCCTATGATTTCCAACAACCAGTGATACCCACAGTGGCTCCAACAGACCTTGATGCCATCACTTTCAGCTGTGGGCATGGGTAAATTCCTTCACCTCCCCAGGCTTTGGTTTCCTCTTTTGTAACATAGGAATAATAATAATATCCCCACCTGTACTAGATGGTGGGGCACTCTGCCCAGATCCACTTCACCAGGCATGGATACTCCTCTGGCTGCTGACTGCTGCCGCTTCTCCGGAGAATTGCCTTAGGTTGAATGATCACCCGTCTACCCATCCTAGGGGCAATGGCTGACCAACAGGTGAGAATAACTTTCTGGTACAACTCATGCTCCAGAGCTCGCTGTGAGACCAGACTGAACTACATGGAACTCTTTAAACCGGGTTTACATTTGTTTTGATGTTATGGGGGTGGCTCCAACTTGAGATCCAAACAGTTGACTTTTCCACTACTATTATTGAATAATCCATCCCTTCACATATTTTCAGGAATCCTGTTTATGGTTTTGTTTTTTGGGGGTTTTTTGTAGCCAGCCTATACAAAGATTCAAACTCTTGACGTTTGTGTTAGCAGCCCTAACTGCTCTACCGAGTGAGTTAACCAGCCAGCCCTTCTGTTTATGTACTTTTAGGTGCATCTGACCTTTAGAGATATGAGTTTTTATGGTTTTGTTTTTTGGGGGTTTTTTGTAGCCAGCCTATACAAAGATTCAAACTCTTGACCTTTGTGTTAGCAGCCCTAACTGCTCTACTGAGTGAGTTAACCAGCCAGCCCTTCTGTTTATGTACTTTTAGGTGCATCTGACCTTTAGAGATATGAGTTGACAGAAGTATGGAGTTCTGATTACTTTATTTTTGGTGGCTGGCTGATTCAGCAATCCCAACTCGTGACCTTGGTGTTACAAGGCTGTGCTCTAACCAACTGAGCAAACCAGCCATCCCTTTATTAAGCCTCATGGCTAGCTTAACATCAGCACAGCCAGGTTAAGCAACTTTCCCCCCTTCTCCCCCTCTCTTTCCCTTTTCTGCTCTGGAAAATTGTCAGCGAAATTCCTCTCCTCGGAAGGGGCAACATGACCATTATCATCAAAGGAGTGTCTTGTGGGCTGCATTAGCCAGCTTCGGGCCGAAACACTTTGCACCGATATAATGGCAACACTAATTATAAGCCTATGCCCTAACCAACCAGATGTTAGCAGGGCTGTGTCACTTTGCATACCACTGATTTCAAAATTGCCCATTATTCTGCCAGAACCCTCAAAAGGCTTATAAATCCCTGCTTTCCTTTGTTCAGGGGAACTGATCTGACTCTGTCTCCCTCCACGTTGGTGGAATAAAGCCTCTTGGCTGAAATGGCGCCTGTCTCTCTCTCCCTTTTCTCTACCTTGCTGAACCTGACACCCTTGATTACTTCTTAAATGAAGAACTTCCTCAGGATATCTGAACAATTCTCTTGCAGGTAGTCTGAAGTCAAGATGTATGAAAACAGAACCAAATTCTGTTCAGCTCTAAAGTGCTCCTGCCTCCTGTGGTTACTATGAAAGGCCTACAGTCAAAACTCCAAGGGATAATTCAGTCTTATTCCAGTGTATATCCCCAGACCTCCTCCTAGTACATAAATCTATATTAATGGATACTTAGGCTTAACCCCTGTAATCTTTTAGCTAGGAGCTGTCCAATAGAACATTCTATGATGACGGAAATGTCCTATTCTACGATGTCCAATAAGGTAGCCACCAGCCACACTTAGCTCTGAGCACTTGATATGTGGTTAGTACACTAGAGGAACTGAGTTATTTAAATTTTTTTCAATTTATATAGCCACATGTGACTACTTATTGGCCATTGTGGTAACTGTTAAGACTGGTGTGCCTATAACTTGCACACGCTTCCTTGAATATCAGTTTCGATATTCCATAGTTGGTCCAAATACTTTTGACTTTGCCAGGTATTACACTTGGTAAGTAAAGTGAGTTATAGCAAGATAGTTTCGATTCTAGGCTTACAGCGTAGGAGAGATAAAGGTCAATTTTTAACCTAGAGATGAAACAGGTTAAGACTCCATAGATACTCTCCCATGGTGTTCCATAATAGGCAGGTACTGTGTCGCTGTGTCAACAGGGAAGAAGGGAGCTTCTAGCTAGGCAGGTGACACAAAGGGCTTATGATCAGTTCCTTTCACAGAAGAAGTCTGGCCCAGGGGGGGGTCCCAGGAGTGGGGGGCTTCCTATTCTAGGATGTAGAAGGGAAATGGGGGGCTAGCACAGAAACTGAGACCCCACAACTACTGGATTGGAACTAGGATGGACGTGCATGTCCTTCTTACTATACGAACAGTACTCAACAAATATGAAAGATTAAATTAGAGGGTTTCAAGGTTTGGGTTTTGTGGATGGGGGAGGTAAGCTCTGGAGGGGCGTGGTGGAATTGATAAGGACTCCTAGAGACAAAGTGGCTGAGGGGGCAGGGGTAAGGAGGGAGGCCTCCCGTGGGGAAGATTTGGGAGGACAGGAGCTCTCTGCAAGGTAGCCCCAGGCCGAGAGCGGCGGGGAGGGTAGGGCTGCACCGAGCAGCCGCGAGGTCGTCCGGCCGGGCCTCAAGATGGCGGCTGCCTCGCCGGGCCCTCCCGCGCTACAGGCCTGGGCAGGGGCGGCTGAGAGAAGGCAAAAGGGACTGTCGGGAGCAGTGACCCAGAGGCGGAGGGGAGGGCGGCTGCACGGGCCCACGGCCTCGGGGGAAGGCCAAACAAAATCCGACCGGCTGGGCTGCGGGTCCGCGCGTTGGGCCTCGGCGCGGCGGCGGCGCGC